GACATTTCGGATTTCTGGGAAGCCCCTTATACAGTGTGTATTAAAACGAATAGATACACTTAAATAAAACAAGTGCCAAACCCCGCCCACTGTGGTAGGGATTGAGAATTTATAGGTTTTATTTTTATCGAATTCGTTTGTTTTGTTTTAATGCATTTCTGAAAATAAAAACTAAGTATTGTTTAAAATCCATTAAATTCCAGTTAAAATGTATTTCTTAAAAACTATACACATTTCCCTACGACAGTATTTCATTTATGCACTGAAGAGTGAAAAGCGCAATTTTTTTTTGCCGATACGATACGATACCGATAATCGGAAACAATTGCCGATATGCCGATATACCGATATCAATATCGGTATCGTTCTATCCCTAATTTACAATACTTGTAAATTATTACGCTTAAAAACTTTTTTTAAACATAGGAGTATTTTTTAAATAAAAATCAAAATTACAAATTGATGGATTTCTTTAAAAAAAGGTACTTGAAAACCTTTAATATTGGGTATTTCCACCTCAAGCATTTATACAAGTCTGGAGACGCCTCCCATGCTGTCTATCAGATTGGTGATATGTTGTTGAGGAATACTTTGTCATTCTTCCCGACCAGCATAAACAAACTTGGGTGGGTTCCAAGCTTGTTCTATGGTATTCATGTCCGGCTAAAGTGCAGGCCAGTCCAAATGATTGATGCTTTCCGTTTCCAGATACTCATTTACAGCTCTGGTATGGTAAGGTCGGGCGTTATCGTCCATAAAAACCAAAGTATCACAAACAGCTCCTCGCCATAGTCTGACGTAAGGATCTAGAATCTCTCTAATGTATCTGCGTCCAGTTATTAGGCCCTGAACATACATTAATTATGTGCGACCATAAGACATGATACCAGCCCAGAACATAGCACTTCCTCCTGCAAAGGGTGGCACGGGGCGTGCATGAGCAAGCTGGGCAGCTCTTGTTGGCTTCCTCCATACACGTATTCGATGACTATCCTGTACCAAACAAATTCTTTTTTCGTCAGAAAAAAAACATCGAGTTGCATAATTCTGCAGGTAAAGCCACGTGCTCTTGAGCCCACAGTGCTCAGGTTGTAGTCGGGGTACTCTCATTGGTCGGCGATACCTCAAACCTGTCGCGAGTATTCGTCTCCGCAATGTAGAGACCGATACTTGAACTCCCAAGGTATGACGCATATCTCTTTGGAGTGCTGGTATTGCCGTGGTCGAGTTTCTTTGGATAGATAAGAGGATATAACGGTTCTGTTGTTGATTGTGACATGTTTTCTACCGCTTCTAGGTCTATCGAAGAAAATTATTCTGGAGATAGCGATTCCAGGTGCGAGACTCATCACTTTGCCAAACACCATCTCTAGTAGCCACGAACTTTTGAGAGTGATATATAAATAAATTCACTATTCTTGCACAGTCAATATTAGTTATGACTTGTCGAGGCATCTTTGCACGTGAAATCTTTAAATTTAACTGTCTTGAGAGAAATAATCGCACCAAAAATTTGAACTTAGGTACAAAAAAAATTGTAAACAATTTTTTCGAGCAACAAATATGCGACGCGTCGTCGATTCAGGAAGATAAACATTGATAAACAAGCCCACAAAAAATTTCTGATGCTAAAAAATGTCTTCGTATAAAATCAAGGTGATGCAAAACTTTTAAATCTATGTGTATGTTTTGTTTATTTTTTTTCAGTTAATACATTATCCATAACTCATACGGGGCTATGTGAAAAGTGTTTTAGTTTAAAGCATTTTAATATAAAGTTAGTTTTAAATTACTTAGTAGACTACGTATTTTTAAAAATAGATGTATCTCGGAAAAAACCTAATTCAAAAATATATTTTTTTTAAATATAGAAAAACGCTGCCCAGAAGAAATATCATTGTATTAAATATTGTCATATGTTGGTGATGGAAACAATCAATTAAAAAGCTACTAATAACAATTAATAATTTTGAATTAATTACCGATAACCATTACCTAATATTAATAATTTTTTCCACCACCGCGGTGGGCTACAATGTTAATTCCTAATTTATTCTTAATTTTTGACCATCATTGTATTTAATACTCTCATACGTTATGGCTGAAACAAATAATGGTAAGTTTTTATAATTACTGTCCCTACGTCAATAAAGAAAGCGCTGCATATTTTTTATGTATGTATGGACATTACTAAGGTTTTAAAAATTGCCACGCATTCTGACACTCTGTGTTAAGTGCTTTTAATAGCTTACTGTTCTGCCTTTCAAAAGAAATCTAAAATCAAGCTTTTTAATAGAAAGTTAGTTTTAGATTACTTAGTAGACTATGCATTAATAAAAATAAATGTATATATATATATATATATATATATATATATAAACTCGCGTTTATAAAACTTGATACATAATATACTATTTTCTACTCCGACCAAATTATAGCACATGTTTCCAAGTTATCTTTAAAATACACATTGCTTCATGTCGCTTTAAACCCGGGCTGAAGTTAGCTTTAAGTTAGTTGACAGTTGTCAAATGTTATCGTTAAAATAAAGTGCCCTACTTGTGAAATAATACTAACTGTAAAAATTATTTTATTATCTCAATACAAAAATACAAAACTAATAAATAGTTTCTCAGCTCCAATGTTTAAAAAGTTTATATGCACTTTTGTAGGTACTGTCACTCTATACAAATATTTAATTTAAATCTGTTTTAATAATAATAAGTATTTGTCGTAGAAAAAGTATAGTATGCCACTCGTTTATAAACTTTTCTAGACACTTATTTAATTAAACACTCGCTCGCAAGCTCGCTCGTGCCTTAATTAAATTCGTGACTAAAATGGCATTTATCAAATTTGATACATTATGTACTATTACGAACTTTATACTAAATTACGCTTTTAATGGTTTAATAACAAGAAAAAAATATATAACTGTCAAAGAATTTGGTTATGTTCGAATTAATTGTTTTTGCGTATACTTTATTCGTAGAATGTGACACGCCTATTATAAAGTTCTACCATTTATATTATAGCATCGTGAGGTCACGCTACCGAGAGAATTTATCGATTTTTTAGTAGTTTCACCCTGATTTTCAACATCATGTCCCTATAATAGGGCGTATACGCCATTCCTCGGCCTTAAATTGGGTAAGAATTACCAGTTTTTTGGCGGTTAGAAAAAAAAGTTAAACAAAACTAAAACACTGTAATAATAATTATATTCAATTTTTTTTCGTAAATACATTTTTTATTTCTGGGTTTAGAACTTACTATTAATTTAGTTGTTACTCCACTGTAAAATTGCATTTTATCACCTACTAAATGACCAACCCAACTTTTTTGTTTTGTTTTAGCAAAAGCTGTAGCCATCTTGTTTAAAGCATTTTTAAAGTAATACCTATTTCCTTAATCTTCTTTTATTTAAACTCTTTGCGATATTAATCATTTGGTTTATCAATACAAAATATTTTCCATACCAAAGTGTATCTTCAGGGGATTTATGTATTAAACGGAAACCTCTTATTTAACTTAATTAAAGCTAAGTCTGTTTGTCTTGGCTTATTTTGTCTACAATTCTTATATATTTAAGTAAATTTATACAAATAGATATTCGAACAATCTTAATGTAAACTAGAAATAGATAATACCTACGTTTATTTTTAGACACAATGCAGCTAGTAATCTAACATGGGTCATTGTTGATTTTAAATTTCATAAACCACCTTCACCTAAAAGGTCATTGAACTGCTGCATTTTATCTCACTCTTCGTATTTATGTTACATGACCATAATGCAGTTATAATAAATTTACTGCCCTGCTTTATTAAAACTCCGCACTAATAATAAATAATTATAAATATTACCGTCCAGCAATATGTATTTCTAAAAAATGCAAGGAAATTGTGATATATGAATTGTTACACGCGTAAAGCGCTCTTTTAGAGTAGCTTATCAGATTGCTTGTTGTTAAATGTATGTTTGTTAATTAACCCCAACTGATTTGCTATTGCCATTTATTTTCAAAAAGTATAACCCAATTTTGTAACATTATTTTGCAGGATTTTTAATTTTTTTGTATTTTAATGAAACATAATTTAAACAGATCTGATTAACTATTAAAACTACAAGCATTTTTAAAAGTGACAAATACTTACTAACTCTAAAAAGTAAGTAAGTTTTATGAATTGTATTTGCCATTTATTTTAAAATCTTAACATAACCTTATTGATTCAAAGGAAAAATAGATTTTTGAAAGAAAGCGATTGAACAACATACCTAAAGCACTACATTTTGGTAACCTACAAGTTAATTTTGTTCTCACGTATTAATTAAATGCCTTAACGTGTGTCTTGATGTACACCGAGTTCGTGATTTTCCTGCTAATTTCTTCATTTCCACCCAGACAGAAAGTAAAGCACGTCTATGGTCATGGAAATTAAGTCTATATCTCGAACATAATTTATCTTTTTTATCATTACAGAGACCCAACAAGAAAAAAATAAACTTTTGGCAAATAGGTATTGGCAATATTTTAATTTTAGGCCGCAGTTAATATTTTACATTTTAGTGCGCTTTCAACGAATTTCATCTTTTCATTTTAAAATAAATACCTTTAATGAATGTAAACTGGCGGAAAGAATCTTTTTGCAAGCATTGATTTAGTCTGGTTTGGGTTTAAATAATTGGAAGATTTCCAAATATTTAATTTATATCTCTGTATAAAAGATCTTCTTACTTGCATTCTCTTTTTTTGGAAAAAAATATTTTATTTGCAATGCAATTTAATTTTAAATTATATTTAAAAAAGTTTTATCTTATAAAATATAATAATAGGTACTTCTATAAGCACGTTTCTTTTTATCATTTTTACCTTTATTGATTTATATAAAATGACTTTTATAATTAATGATCGTATGATCGTTATTAATGTTTACACATAATGTTGAAATTATTTCAAGTTTATTATTATTTATTTTTTATTATTTTTGCATTTCGAGTAAAGGATATAGTATTTAATCGGGACCGATTTGATTTGCCCTACAAAATATCCGGTTCGATACCGGATGCGGCTAGGGCAGGATGTAAAATGCTCGACATCGTCCGGGACGGACTCTTTCCGCCTCTGATTAGGGCACTGGATGCGGCTCTGATTAGGAAAATCAATCAAATCGGAAAAATGCTATCTGATGCGAAATCCATAACCTAATATCTGAACTGAAAAAAATTATATCTCAACCCAATCGGAATTCTCGATGCGACCCTGATTGGAAAACCCATATCCCCAGTTTGTCTGATCCGGCCAGGAAAAAAGTATATCCCAACCCAATCGGGCTGCCTGATCCGGCCATTTATTGTGTTATTATAATTATTTACCAAATAATGCCGCAGGTGCACCTAAATTACCAACAATATAATCATGATAATATTGTTGGTAATTTAGCCATCAAACATAATGTTCATAAATATTCGTTTTTAAAGAAATATTTTTTATAAGTAGCTGTAGTAGTTGTAAAACCCAAAATATGGTTCCAAAAGTCTCACAGTTCACGGGTGACTACGACGGATTCTAACGTCAAAATGGAAAGGCCTGCTGCAAAAATTAAATATGAATTGGAAAAAGCGATTACAAGGAGTTTTTCACCGTGGAGAGTATACGAGCAGATAGGTCTTAATTGCAACTGGCCAAATGAACATGAAGTTAGCAAAGCATCCATCGCCAATCAAGAACCGATTAGGTGCATAATTTGCCGTTAATTAGTTGTGAAAAAATTATTTTTGTTGTTTGAATATTTCTTTGTTTTTATAGGTGCTTTGCTAACTTCATATAAAGTTAGCAAGGCACCCCCTTAAATATGTGATTATTTTTTTTGAATAGTTAATATTTTGCCGTTAATTTGTCGCTAATTAGTTGTGAATAAATTAATTTTGTAGTTCGAATATTTCTTTGTTTTTATGGGTGCTTTGCCAACTTCATATAAAGTTAGCAAGGCACCCCCATCAAATATGTGTTAATATTTTGCCGTTAATTTGGCGCTAATTAGTTGGGAATAAATTAATTTTGTCGTTTGATTATTTTTTGTTTTTCGGATGCTTTGCTAACTTCATATGAAGTTAGCAAGGCACCCCCCTTAAATATGTAATTTTTTTTAATAGTTAATATTTTGCCGTTAATTTGTGGCTGCACCCGCTCCACTTACTACATGAATAATTTTTTAATAGTAATCATGTTTATTTAGAAGGAACCAATTGGTCACTTAAGTGACATTATTTATTTTTTGAAGGTGCCTTGCAAACTTCATATGAAGTTAGCAAAGCACCCATAAAAACAATGAAATATTCGAACGACAAAATTAATTTTATCACAACTATTTAACGACAAATTAACGGCAAATTATGCACCTAATCGCTTCTTGATTGGGGATGGATGCTTTGCTAACTTCATATTCATCTTTAAAATGCATCTTAATTTAATATTTATTATTTGCCTACAAGATAGAAAATCTTTATGTTTATTATTTATTAATTCATAACAACTCCATAATTGATAAACTATTTAAAAAAAAATAATTCTAAATCATTGTAAGATGATAATTTATATAACCCCAATTTTAAATTGAAAACAATAAACTTATAATGTGACGACTTTATAACAAAAAATGTTAATTTGAAAGTTGAATAGGTTTATTAACTCCAAAATAATGTTACTAATAAGGCTTCTAGTTATTGTTCTTAGAAACATCACCCGCAGTTTATAGCAAACATGCAGCAAAATATAAAGTTCTTATAAGAACTTTATATTTTGCTGCATGTTTGCTATAAGGCTTTGTAGCTAAAAGCATTATTATAGCAAGGTAATAAAGGCAAAACATAAATAGACCTATAGTAATAGAGCAGTTTTACTATTAAAACACTTTATAAGAGTTTATGCAAAATATAATTAAAAAAATTTAAATAGATTTTGCCCTATGTTTTAAGGTATTTATGAAATTTTATTAAGGCGCGTGCTGTAATGATTTAGGGCCCGGGAAGTAGTTCCCTCCCACGCCTTAAATTTTATGTCTTAAAGAAAGGGTTGGGGAACTGGTTGGGGTGTTGTGTTTGTGTTATTCAAATCTTACGTAGCGTGCTGGGCAGAGCTGGGCACGAGTACTAAAAAAGTATTCGTAAAATTTTAAGTACGAGTACTTAAAATATTTACTCGTAAGTACATTTGTAAACGGGTAATCGTGAAAACACGAGTAAAGAGTACGAGTACTTTTAAAAAAAATTTTAGTTATTATAATTGTTTATTCTTTATAGCTTAGGACCAAAGTATGTATAATATGGTCCTGAGCTATAAAAATAAAAATACAAATTTATAATAGTATATTATGTATCAAGTTTAATAAACAAACGCCATTTTAGACACGAATTTAATTTAGGCACGAGTGAGCTTGCGAGCGAGTGCTTAAATTAATGAGTGTCTAGAAAAATTTATAAAAAGTTGCATACTATACTTTTTCTACGACAAATACTTACATATATATATTATTATCTATAGATGGCAGATGCTCGAGCGCTTTGCAAAGCGCTCATAAGTGCTCATAAGCGCTCATAAATGCCCATAAGTGCTCATGAATGCTTATAAATGCTGGAGCATTTATAAAAGATGAAATATAAATTTTATAAAAAAAAATTATTAAAAAAAAATACAACAAAATAGAGGTCAGTAAGAATAATCTAAGGTTCATTTAAATAAATATTTATTTATTGTAAAGTTTATATAAAACATATTTACTACAGTACAAAAAATAATATTTTGTTGGGGCCAAATTCAAATATCGACCACTTATGAGCATTTATGAGCGCTTTTGAAAGTGCTCATCCTTCTTTATTATTATCTAAAAATGATTTAAATTAAGTATTTGTATAGAGCGCCTATAAAACAATAGGGGAATCTGTTTTAATGTCAAATGTCAAATTTGTATGTTTTATAAACAAAGATAATAAATCAAAATGTATTCCTTGAAAATGGATTAAACAATGTGAATTTTTCAGTAGAGTGGACACCCCCTCGGTTTATATAAAAATTTATTCTTAAAATATCGTAAGGAATTGCGCCCTGAAGTTACGGAGTGTACTTAGAAAACACCCTGTATATGTCAGGATCAGCGGCGGATCCAGGATTTTGAAAAGGGAGTCCACAAAAATATCAGCTCTTTTTTCGGATTATCACTTAATAATATAAATAAAATTTAATTTAATGTCGAATTTTGATTTTTCCGATCCCGAAGAAGGGTCCTGTCCCGATCCCGTGTATTCGCCACAGGTCAGGATTTACCATATTTCGCTTTTTAAATACTTAATTCCAGTTATATAATTTATTAATTCATTTATTTATTTGTATACAAATAAATAAATGAATTAATAAATTATATAACTGGAACTATAGTAAGTTGCAAAAAGTAAAAAAAAATGGCAAAAATTAACAGGCCATTAAAACCTGCGAGTGTTTTTTTAGTCTGTTGACCCACTTCATTTCGAGTTAGATTTATTTGGGCTGGAATTTCTTCGAGGATTTCTTGTTGCACTGTGTAATTTAAGATGCCGATATTTTTTTGTCAACTTTGATTTTCAATATTTTTAAGTTTAAAAACATTTGTAATTTATTAAAAGTATGGTAGTAATTTTTATTTTTCTAATTCATGTCAAAATCGGAGATGAATGTGGCTGTTAAAAAAGAAATTAATCAACTTGGGTAACTTATTTTTTATTTAATTACATTTAATTTTATTAAAGGAATCAATTAAAATTTAACCACATTTTTAACATGTTCTTGTCCAACTTCGTACCACAACCCGGAAAATACCTTTTTAAAGGATATTTTAAAAACTTTTAATAAACACTTGAATTTTCAAAAGTTTATTTTCAAATTTTAATTGACATCTTCCTGTTTTAAACCATATTCCAAAAAATAAAATGATAAGTCCAACTTTGTACCGTTTACTCGATTTACCCTTTGTTGGTAGAAGTAATTAGAGAACAAAGGCCGTTATACGTCATCAGTTGTTACCTAATAGTATTATTTGGATGGATGAAATCGCATAACGAAATAGAAAGAAGAACCAAATAGGTATATAAAATGGAAAGCTTTTATGAATTAAAGTTTAATATTTGGAAGAACGGATAATAATGTTTGACTTTATTTCCTAGAACTACGCTTGTATTTTAAGGATCAATAAACTGTTATTATATGTATTTAATCGATATTTTTGCTTTTTATGATTTTACAAAAAGGTTATTAATGATTTCAATGGCCTTTAACTTTCTTTGTTAATAAATTTGTTAAGTATCTTGCAATAAAATGCAGTCAATCTTTTGTAACGGTTTTTGGGTTAAAACAAACATTGTCTTCATAAACAAAATTAAAATTATCATTACTGTAAACATTTTAAAGTGATTTATTAATATAATAATATAAATAAATATTTTAAGTACCTACTTCTTAATACCATTAGGTATGCAAATGCTTTATATTTATTGCATAGAAATGATGAATTATTAAATCCTTAAATTAAATATTAAAATATATGTTCCTAATGTGTATGGGTAATATGTGTGCATATAAAATGTTAAATGTCCTAATTATTACAAATAAACAGAATATATTCAAACATAAATACATGGAAAATTGGATGGATGGATAGATTTGTTGGGTGAAGGGTAGTCACATCGACACGTGGCTGCACTTAGGCCACAGTGAGCCTTTGTACTACCTCCGAGGTGCATTTTTCCTAAAATGCTTAAACGTTTTCTAGCCTTACGAGCTTCCAAAAGAAATCCAGAAAGACGGTTAGAGATATAGAGTGAATGTTGGTTGCATCAACCCTATTAGCCTTTGGTGGATTTTCTGAATTCGAAAAGAAACAGGGCATTCACAAAGATTGTGCATCAAACTCTCTTTCTTTCTCTACTTTCCTTATCGTGTATTGTTTAGACTACAGTGTCCCGTTATGAGTTCGACAAGGTCAGAAAGGTTTTGACGAGAGCTTATGAGTGATTATAGTTTTAGTCTGAGGGCATGAAATTAAGTTACCCCTTCTTCTTAGTTGTTTTTTATGGGTTTGAGGCAGGACAGTTTCAGGACCCACTGGCAGCTTTGCCGATCCTTGTCCTACAAGTTCATAAGCCTTTTAATTTCCTTAATTACCATTATGTCGCTTCTAA